CAATAATATATATTTAATTTTTTTTAAGAAAGGCATAATTTTTTTATTTGATATAATATTATAGGTGTATAAATATTATTGTAAACAAAAATATATAAAGGAAAGATATAATTTTTTTCTTACTATTTATAGAAAAATTTTTTTTAATGACAAATCAATATTTACAAATTTTATATATGCTATGATTTTTAAAGATTTGAATATAATTTTGAAAAAAAACTAATTTATATATATATTAAATAAATAAAATTATTTTGTACATTATACGATTATAATCTAACATATATATATATATATATATAGGTATTACATATTAAAGAGCCCATTAGCCATTGTCATAATTATAGATCAAACAAAGGCAACATTTAGGAGAGAGATGGCTCCAAGGTCGCTTTTCTATCAATTAATGAATGTTGTAATTGAATGTACACACACACCCGCCCACAAGAACACCCTAGGAAAAGGAAAAAGGAAAAAGGAAACTGCATTTTACGATAACCACCACATACTTTGTGAGATTTTTTATATTTACATCACCATAAAGAAGTTACATCGGAAAGAACTGTGATGCAAGTAACAAATTCGCCAAATCTAAAACTGAAGCAACTCATTGAAGATATTATTCTGTTTCCTATAACATAGAAAAGCTTACAGTATAGATCCTGCACTACCAGCTAGAACTACCCTCTTTCTCTTCCTCCTCCACCTCGCCCCCACCATTTTTTTTTCCTTGTTTCTCTTATGACTTCATTCAGTGTAAACAATCCTAAATTTGCAACAATTTGGTGAATATAGAATGGAAAAACCTCAGTGTTTCTTGGAAATAAAGAATTCATAATCTGACTGCTGATTAAACACCTTGACATTGTTTTTGCAAATACAACCTCTGGCAAAATGAAAGGCATTTTCTTCCAGAGTTCTGAGTCGCTTCACAAGAATTTCAGAATTCGTACGTTGTGAAAATTCTTTCCTAAGAAGTTCTGACGGGTATTGTCAGATCAAACCAGCACTCACCCTGTAAACATGAGCATGTGAAACACTGTATCCATGGCATTCAAAACCACAGAACCTAAAAAATAGCATGCAGAGAGAAATAAACTTAACATATTATACAAATAAAATTTTAACCACTGAATTTGGTTAGCATCAACAGCAGTCATTATTCAGCAAATTTGCAACCTAAACCTGCAACCCTTGCATGGCAAAAATCCACTGACAATGTTTCAGTTCAAGAATTTTATATCAATAATCCACAGAATATTGTTGAATCAGAATTTGAATTTTATGACTATATCACTATATCAGGAAGCAATATTACTGGCCAACACATTGCACTTCCTAATCTGCTATATTATTCTCATTTATACAAGAAACAAAAAATAAAGAAAACATAGCATTATGAGCTCTTAACTATATTCACAACTAAATTCCTATTTTCCATCTTTTGCTGCGGTTCCTATTTCAACAATGAGAAGTACAAATCCTGAAAAAATTTCCAATAAGATAACATAACAAATTTACCCGTGTGTTGTAGCTTTCCAATCCTAGTACAGCTGCAACAATACAAGTAGCATTCTTGTGAAGAGACTCAGTAGGAACACATCTCTGTACCAAATGTCCCAGTGAACGGTAAGTCAAGAATGATGCATGGAAATTCCCTTCTGGGATTCGATATATAGGATACCAGGCCACCGAATACCTGAAAGCAATTTATGGAGGTTTTAGTATATTAGTCCCCCAACTAGAAAGAGATCAGTCAAAATTGACAGACAATACTGGCTCTTACCAAGATCCATGGTGTAGATCATGCAGATCCATAGACTCTAGTTTTGATGGGTCACCAGATACTTGATTGGAATTTCCAGGTTTAATGAGTTCAGCAATTCTGCAACTTCTAACTTGTTAACCAGTAGATCTTATCAATTATTTGTGAGCAAAATGATCCATGTGCAGATTAACAAAAATAGATGAGAATTTAAAGCTTGATTGTTTGAGATATCGAAAAGGAGATAAGCTAAAAAACCAGAAGATAATGAAAGTCAATTCATCAAACAAACCACTTGGGACGAGGAAATAGAACTTTTGGCTTCTTTGGAGATATCTGACATTATTGGAATGAGACAGAAGAAGCTCTTCATCATCATTATCACTAGGACAATATCTGCAGTGTGCATCATGTCTTTCTTCTCCATTTCTCAACCTAGCCTTTTACAGTCTTTTCGTTTTGCTTATGCTGCTCTCAAGTTAAAAAAGACTTCTGATTTGCCTTCTTATCACATGAATGGGCTGCTAGATAAGAAAGCATGCTCCAAACACAGTAACATATTTTCCTAGATTTTTAAAGTGAATTAACTTAAGGTAAATGAACTCTTGATTATGGTACCTAAAGCAAGCAGTGTGTGAAAATGTCTGAAGAAAGCAAGAGGAAGCCTGTTAACAAAGCTTAGGCAAGTGGAATAAGATTTTAAAAAATAAAAGAAAAAGAAAAGAAGACTAAGGACACGGGTATGAGGATTAAGCAATGGTTAAAGAAGTGAGAAGATCAGACAGAACTGAGTTCAATAGGAATGAGAAGGCTATTGAGATTAGCAGTAACAAATACACAAGCCATTATGCTGTGCATCTAGAGCGTCTGGAAAAATATTTATGAACAAGCTGTAATGCAGGCATGAGTCAAGCACATTGGCAATGATTAGAAAGTGAAGAGACCAGATCTTCTTCCATGCTTTTATAGAAGAGTACAGCATTACACTAAACTGGAGCAGTGCCATAGCAATTACCTCAGCTTCTGGTGCAATTTCTCCTCAGTGAACAATTTATTGCAGAATGACATAGTATGACCAAAATACACTGAGCATTTAGTTATATTCCTGAACAACCCATAAAGCATACAACTGCTAACTTTTTTTGCATGAACCAACCAATAAATGGCTCTCAAGTTGCTACAACATCAGTAATGCAAAATTAGATCTGCAAGGAAAAAGCTTACTTAATATGAAGAGGCTTCCGCTGATGAGGCAGCTCAGATTCAAAAAGTTCAAATATTAGTTCAGAATCACCAGGGCAGTTAATTGAAGAAAGGAAGCCTTGAGAGTATCCTCGTTTACGTGATGATGAATTATTTGAGATGCAAACTTCCTCAATAGAATCAAGATTTATCTCTAATGTTTTATTCCCCACACTAAAATGTCCGGGTTGAATTGCTTCTAGGAAATTTTTAATGACAATGTTTTTGGACAAGAAGAATTCAGTTCAACTTCTTGTTTCTCTGGACTTACATAGGCAAACAATTGAACAGCAGACAGGAAGGGAATAATGAGCTGAAATGGTGTCATTTCAGTTAGGGTTCCGTTTTGGTCTACCGCCTTGATTTCCAATCCATAATTTCCAGGCTTCTCATACCAGTTCCAAAGAGCATGAAGTGATATATTAGCCTTCTGGTGCTTACAGAGGAAGCGAAAGGACAGCTGACTATCCGAGCTAACTGCACATGGGGCACATCTATGTGAAAAAGAAATAACCGGAGAAGCAGAATGGATGAATCTTTCAAACTCCGCAAGAGGTTTGCCCATTTCAAGCTGAGCTCTTTCTGATTCTAATTGCAGTAAGTAAGCAGCATTCAAAGTTTCAGATGCCACAGTGAGCCAATAATTGACTGGGGGATGCGTTTAGGTTCTCCTGTCATGCTTCCATTGGTGCTTTTAGAAGCATGAACTACTATGGCACTCTCATTTTCAAATTTTGGGGCTACATTTTCATTTGAAGTTATTTCGGTTGTCGGCACGGTTATATGCTCCATGCTTTTAAATCACTAGAAGTAGCAGATCCACAGGTAAGAGTTCCTTTTCTGTTTGAATTTTGTATCATTCATCTCTCCACACGAACACGCCGAAGTATCACTAAAGACATTGCAAACAACAGCGGAGCCAGTTCTCTCTACCGTCTGAACAGGAACCAATTTCTTTGCTTTTGTTTCAGAATTAGTCTTTTCCTGAATTGATTCTCCTTATGAACTCCAGAACCGAGAATGATTTGCTATAAACAGAAGCATGAAAGGGCAAGGTATCATTAATGACATTACAGAAAGCAGCAAAGCCGATCCTCTCTTTCCCACTAACAGGAATCCACTCTTTTGCTTTTGTTTCAAAAGCAATGCCTTTCGTGAGTTTATACCCCTGATGAAATTGATAGCCAGAGAACTGCTGACTGCAGACAGAATCACAAAAAGACCTACCTAACACATGGCTCGTCCTATGTATCTTCATCCCCTTATATGTCTGGAATCCACCTTGAACTGGAACCCAAACTTTCGTTTCGCATTGGGCCTTTTGCTGCACATGAACAGAAGGAACGGGATATGCATGTAAGAAGTCGGAGCAGTGAGCTGTAAAATGATGGTTGTTGTACTTCCCATTTTGTGCTTCATCAGCATTCTTGCAATGAAGCAGGTCAAAAGGAGCCAGTTTGAATCTTTTTCATAAAGACTATGCCTTTTATAAAGCCTAGTGAAATCTTCTTCCCCACGGTCTGAGGTCCTTTCTTGCAATTGAAGTTGTTCTTGTGCATAAATGAATGATTACATTTCACTTCTGAATCTTCAAGTCCTCTGTTCCCCAATTCCCCATTGGTTTGTCGAAGAATAATTGGAAAATGGCTCTTAATAAAACTTTTCCTAACAGCACAGTGAGAAGATTCAACTAATCCTTTGCCATGGATGCTTTGACACAGTACCTGGCTCCTTATTTTCAGTCTTGTTGATTCCGTGAGCAACTACTGATGTTTGTGAGAAACAAACATAGCGATTGGGCAACAACTTTCACCTGAGAACAAATTCTGCCAATCAAGGATTTCTCCATCAAGCTCGTATCTCTTGTCACACAATTATAGCTTGATCCTTTCTTAACCCAATATTTAAATTCTTCCCTGAAATTCATCTGATTCTCTCGCATGATTTACAAGATATTACTCCACAACCTAGATCGAATATTCCAACTTCCAGCATGAACTGTCGGATAAGAGTGCCAGCAAATACAGTTTCTCCTAAGAACTCTTTTCAGTATGTAGGACAAAGTCTTGGAAGTTCCCATCCAGAGGACATTTTTCTATGCAAAGAAATGCCAAATTCCAAATATATGAAGACCCCTGTGAAAGAAAAAAAAAATAAGGCAGGGGTCTCCAAATATGCTATGTAAAGGTTTGCAATGTCCACAGATATTGCCACTAAATATAGAACTACTAAATGGATAGAACTCTCAATTTATGTCAATTAATAGCATTAATCACAATTAAACAGCGGCCCTCGCACCTCTCCTTTCCATCTCAAATTCTGACTAAAACGGCTAAAAACCAACATCTATTATTATTACATGAACCTAACATATCATGCATTATGGAAAATGCATGTTCAATAAAAAAAACCCAGAAATTTCTTTTGATATGAAAATTGATTCTTTATACAACTATATCCCGAAAGAAATGACTTTAAAGAAGCAAACAAGACCCATAATCAAATCATTCAATAAATGAATATGCCCTGGAATAATAGAATTCAAGAAACGCCAAGAATGCTTTAGTTTTTGTAAGCTGTTCATCACTCTCGACTCACATCTTGAATATATACAAAAAGAAAAAAAAAGGTAATGATGGACAAAGAAAATAAGAAGACAAGAAGAAAAGCTTTACAAAATATGGGTTTCAAAATGTGATTACCAGACCTTAACCCTAAAGAAAAGCAAAAAGGCACCACTTAAATCAAATTATGAAACAAGAAAACATTAAGGATAGTAGAAAGAAACAATTACTGTAAACGGCGCCAGATTAAAGAAATAAAAGATGAGAAAAGAAAGTGCAATAAAGTACCTGAGAAAGAAACAGAGGTGACTGTTAAAGAGAGCGGGAGAGAGAACTACGAAAATCCTTCAAAACCTCAGCAACAAATAAAACATAAGCGTCGCCTTTTTTTTTTTTTTTTTTTAATTAGGACATTTTATCGTTTATTTATTTTTATTTATTTATTGGTTATACACGGTCCTTTTCTTGCATTTTCGTCGAATTTGTATTTGGAAAAAAAAAAAAAAAAAGCAGAATTTACTAGAGGTTCATTTATCGCCAGATCAAATCATCATGGATGGAAAATTTCTTTGCCTAGGTTAGGTTTCCGAAATTTTTGAGAAAAAAAAATAAACATTAGCAAATAAAAATATAAAATCATTTTTTAAATTGCATCTTACTTATAATTTTTTATAGGTTTATAATTGTTCAATAAATAAAAAAATTATATACGGTTCCTAATTTATAATCTTGAGTTTTATATAAAATTTTAATAAATTTTACATAATTCAAAAAGTAATTGATTAATTATAATGTAATGATTATAAGTAATATATTTATTTTTTTATTAGTTGCTATAATTATATTTTATTTTTAAATTTTATTAATTTTATTTTGATTTAAGAAAAAAGAATTCACGTAAAAAAGGAATTAAAATCATGTCTTTTTATTTTTTTTTAAAAAAGTCAAAACCTAGAGATAAGGAAAAATGTAATTTTGAAAGTGTTGAGATTGATAATTGATTCGCAGTTTTATACCACATTGAAAAAAAAAAAAAGGAAGAAAACGATATTTAATTATTAATAATATTTGTAAAATAAGTGTGATATACAAAATTAGCAAGCTTAAATAAACATTGTTCATAAGATCTTATCGTAACAGGTCATGTTCATTCTAAAGACGACGTCTGTGATAAATAAGTACTAAAGACAAAAATAAAAGTGAATCAAATTTCCAAGTCTTTAAAGTCTAATTAAGCTAGATAATTATACAGTATCTCAAAGAGCACAAGAGAGCGGGTGTTGAAATTTTAAGAAATAAAAAATAAAAAAAATTGGTTTGGCATGAAAATATTATTTTAATGATAATTATGTCTATAAGATATAATAAAATTTTAAAAATTTTCAAATAAAAAATAATGAAATTGATCAGAGAAAAAGATTTATTTATAATAAACAAATACTAATAAAATAAGTCAATTAAAAAAATCATGATATTTTATATAGTTTTGTTTAAACAAACTTATTTAAACAACCATGTTTTTTTGTTTTAAATATGTATATTCAACTATCATGTTTTCTTATTCAAACATATTTATTTAGACTAAGAATAATATTTTATTAATATTTCAAAAATCAAATAAAAGATTTAAATAAAAATAAATATATTACTAAACAAGCCTAATTGCTCAATCTTTAACTTTTAAAATTATCTTACTCACTAGAAAAGCTCTTAGCAAGTGCAAATGACTTAACCCACTCAAACATGTAGTTCAATTACTTAAATAACATAAGTAATATATTTTAAACTACATACAAATAATCTTTTTATTCAATATGGGATACATCATATTTTAAACTGTTAATAATTCCTCACTAGTTTAGAATGTTAGTGTTTAATCTTTAACCTTTCACACAAATAAATATTATGAATACAAAAAATATCTTTTGATTTAACTTTCAATTATTGTATATACCTTAGAATTCTAACGAAGTTGATGGTATCTACAGATTAAACCTCAACTCCTAGTGTTAAAATTGAATACAAAAAATAAAATATTATGAATACAAAAAATATCTTTTGATTTAAACTTTCAATTACTGTATATGCCTTAGAATTCTAACGAAGTTGATGGTATCTGCAGATTAAACCTCAACTTCTAGTGTTAAAATTGAAGATATAACACATATAATATTTGTTTAATATTCTATTAGGGTTTTATATTTGCTTTAGTACTATTATGATTATGTGTTTATCCTTATTCATAAATATTTACAAAATTTTTTTAACTTTTTTGTTGAAACGGCACCACTTTTATGTTTATATATAGATGAACTTTCTTATTTATGTCTCCATTGCTATAAACATTTAACGACAGACTTCATTAAGAGTTCAATCTCATCATTTATTTACAACAATGACTTAAACTAGTATTTCAAATATTTAGAATATGTTAGCTAGTGTTTTACAGATACATAACAAGAATTTGTTATTACCTAATTAAACTTTCCACATTAGAGATTAATAATTTAAAATTAGGTTGCTATTATTGGTTGTCTAAAAGGAATTTTAAATGCATTCTACTTGTAGTGTTTTTATCAAAATTTTAAAAGTGCCTGTAAAATACCATTCATGTCCAGGTTTGATCCATGCCCAAGTCCAATGAAATAGTTTATTATTATTATTATTAAAAAAATAAAAAAAATCAAAAATCAAAATCAAAAGGTTTAAAATAAGATGAAAAAAAAGGGAAGGAAATTGGTGATTCAATCACGGATCCGTTGGAGCATGATTCTTGGTGATTCAGTTACAGATTTGTTTGGCATAATTCATGCAAAGAATCAAGGAGGAGGAGCTTGAAAAAATCAATCAACACCCGAAAGCCAGCACAGATAGCCTCATATACAATAACTAGAAACCTATACCCAGGATTCCACCAAAAAAACAAGCAGAAGATCACTCTCCAACGCCACCACCACTCGCGTTTTTTTTCTCTGTATTTCTTACTCCAGGGTGGCCCACTAGCCAAGGTTTCGAATGAGGAAATGTTAAAGCTAAAATAGAAGCTGGTTTTCCTGATTTTGGAAATTGGGATCATTTTCCGTTTGGTGATAATAGGGGAAGAAAACTCTCATGGTGACAGCCAAGAAATGCTGTCTCGTTCTTTAGGAGGCGGTATGGCAATGGGATCTTCAAGACTGTTTCTCTTGTTTTGTTTGGTTCTCCCATTCCTTGCTACTCTCACCTTTATAGCTGATCAATACTTTTAGGACTATTATATAAGCGCAGCAGATAACTATGTGGTCAGCGAGAAAATCGTCCAAACTACCATTCAGGAGGTTATTGGACCCAAAGCTCTTCAGGACTATGAGCTCCTTGACCAGATTGGATCTGCAAGACTAGGGTTTGCCTGAAAGTTGCACTTGGCCAAGGCGTGTGACAGAACACATCCCCACCAGTATCCAACGTTTTGCATTTGGATTATTGACAAGAAGGTGTTTTCAAAGGCATGTGCGCGTGCGGGCCTTTCCAAGGTGGCAGAGGACTCTTTCTTCGATTTGATACGATCTGATGCGACTAGGCTGCTGAGGTTGAGGCATCCAGGAGTGATCCACGTGGTCCAGGCTTTGGATGAAAATAAAAACGCGATGGCGATGGTTACCGAGCCATTGTTTGCGTTGGTGGCTAATGCGCTTGGGAATGTTGAGAATGTGGCCCTGGTTCCTAAAGACCTTGTAGAGATGGAAATGAATTTGAAGCATGGGTTGCTTCAGATTACAGAATCCTTGGATTTTCATCATAACAATGCACGTCTTATTCATCTGACTATGTCATTTGAGAATGTCCTGATTACATCAAGTGAAGCTGGGAAGCTTGGTGAGTTTGGTTTTGCTATTTCGATAGATCAGGTCTCTAGTAATCTGGTTAATGTGTAGGCCTTCCATTATGCTGAATATGATATCGAAGATTCTGTCGTACCTCTTCAACCATCCCCTCCAAGTCATTTTCACAAAGGCTATTTTTCTAATTTTGATTTCTTCTTTCTTCTTGTTTTTTTGTTATTAGCTGTGTAAAGATCTTGAAACTAACGAGTATAAAAAAAATCTTTTCAAATAAAAAAAATCTTTGTAAATAAAGTTTTCAAAATAATAAAAAATAAAAAATCTTTAAAAAAAATCTTTTCAATAAAAAATATATATTTTCAAATAAACAAAAATAATTTTTATCTTTTAAACTATTGGAGGATTGCTTTGAAGTAAGCCCTACTAAACTATTAGGAGGTTTCTTTTTTTACTAGGATAAAATTAATAAATCCGAAGATAGAAGTTTTTTAGAGTGGGACACTAATCTTCATGAATACTCTTGAGATGAAAGAATTATCCTAAATTGCTATTAAACTATTTGGATAATTTTATGGTTAATTTTCAATATTAAAAAATTTGATAAATTATAAAAATGATCAAGGCTTGGATAATTTAAAATCAAACTAATACTATCCTTTGGATGGATGTTGTAGGGGTGTTACAACCTTCTTTTATGTGTAACCGACTCCCAAACCTAACATCTGTTTTCGTAGATCAAGATATGTTTTAGATGGCCAGTCACACCTAAACAAAAAATATTGGTGACGACTTCCTTTCATCCATATCTAACAGTAGGTCCATGGATCTATACGTTATGACAGTTTGGCGACTCCATTGAAGACATTGAGAGTCAAGCCAGTAAATAATTTCTTATTATCCAAGTCTTGCTTAATAAGTTTGAAATTATTTTATTCCCTTTTATTGCTTATATTTGCATTATTATTTATTTTCTTTTTCATTGTGTAGACCTGTTTATTTTTCATTGCTTATATTTTCCTAATTATCTATTTATATATTTGTTATTCATTTGCATGTGCATAACAGAAACCCTCCACCTGGGCTCTACCTTTATGAGGGAATGAAGTACCTATGCACTCGTGAGATTCATGTCTCTGCATGGGCCTGTGAAACACTCTCATTTAAATTAAACCATTTCTGCTTATAGCCTATGATAGGTAAGGATTGGGATGCCTTATTAGTCTGTGATGGATATGATGTCAGAAGTAATTTAGGAATATTTTAGAATTAACCCAAACCACATATAATTAACTATAAGAGCCTAACCATAGATTGAGCCATGTCCTTCCACCATTTATAGTTAACCCAAATCTAGGGTCATGTTGTTATTTTGCTTACTTTATAGTGTTTATTTTTTATTGAGGTGATTAACTGATTTTTTTTATCTTTTTTTATTTCTTTTTTGTGCATATTTATACATATACATGCAAGTTAAATATTATGCTTACTAACTCTTTTTCTTATTGTGTATGCATGCATTCATGCATTATTGCATTCATTCTCATGCATAATCTCATAGATCCATAAACATCATTCTAAATTTGTACCATAATTGTGGGAAATCAAGGTTCAAGGATAGATTAATACCAGTGTTACACTCGAGCTAGAGCTAGAAAAATGGAGCAAGACAATGTAAACCGACTTGAAAGAATAGAAAGGCCCAGGAGATTCTTGAAGAAAAATTAAGCAAAATTTTGAAGGCTCTAGAAAAGGGAAATAGAGAAAAGGCAACAGACGAAGATATCTCATAAGAAGCTACTGAATCAACATATCCTCTAGGTTTCAATTCACATCAAACTTAAACCACTCTAAGCTTTAATCAACAACATACCACATTCCCAAATTTTAATCAAGAGAATGTTCAGAGCTATACTAATCATGTCTTCACTAAAAAGACAGATGAGCTAATCCAAATTCCTAAAATGGATGAGACTAAAGAGAAAGAAAAGCTACAAACAGTTATACCCCCAGAAGACTCTAAGACTGCTCAAGTTATGAGCATGATTAAGGAAAGATTACAGGCTATAGAGGGAATTGATTTCTATGGATCCATGGATGTTGCCAACCTTTGCCTAGTTCCAGATGTTATGATTTCTTTAAAATTCAAGGTACTAGAATTCAAAAAGTATGACGGTACCAAGTACCCCATTATGTATATCATACTGTACTGTCGTAAGATGGTAGCACATGTCAATAATAAAAAACTATTATGCATGTATTCTAGGATAATTTAATCGGGTCTGCTACAAAGTGCTATGTCCAGTTAGATAGGACTCGTATTAAGTCATGAAAGGATTTGACTCGATCTTTTATCAACCAATACCACTATATCATAGACATGGCTCTTGATCACCTTTCGTTATAAAGTATGGAGAAAAAATATTTGAGTCTTTCAAAGAATATGCGCAAAGGTGACGAGATATTGCTGCTCAAGTCCAGCCTCTCTTAACAGAGAAAGAAACAACAATGCTATTTGTAAGCACTCTTAAGTCACCATACTATGAGAAGATGATAGGGAATGCGATGAAAAATTTTATCGACATGGTGATTTTATTAGAGATTATTGAAAATACCATTAAGAGTGACAAGCTTGAAGAGGAAAAGATTGACAATGCCAAGAAGGGTAAGATGCCTAAGAAAGAAAAAAATGAAGCCCAAGCGATGAGTTTTGAGGGGCAGCAATTCAAAAGTTATGCCTCATATCCACTATATGTTCATCTTGTTCCTTACCAGCCTTATATCCTAGCCATGAACAACATCACTCTAAGTCCTCATCAACTAGCTTTTCAAGCACATGCATATGGGCCTAATCCTGTTACTACACTAGTTTCAAGGCCTAACAATCAAGTGAGTGGTTTAGAAAGATTCAGGGGCAACCAAGAAAGAGCTTGTAGTAATCCTATTCCCATAACCTATACTGAGCTATTTCCAAAATTGGTCAAGAATGACCTAGTATCCTCAGTCTTTTTGGAACCATTGAAGCCATTCTATCCCAAATGGTGCAATGTTAATGCCACATGTGACTATCATAATGGGAATACGGGTTACTCCATAAAACCTACCCTATTTTCAAGCATAAAGTGCAAAGTTTGATTCGAGCAGGCTTGATAAGCTTTAATGAATCAAAAGAGCTGAATATCCATAAAGACTCTTTGCCCAATCATCTAAGGGCATGACTTTGGGAGGTTGATTGGAACTGCTTATCATCTTGGATCTTTTGAGAATGTGGATCTTCTTTTATGTACCTAGATTTCATCTTATTTTTCATCATTTTAATAAAGTGATATGCTTGATGCATTTTCATGACATTTTTTTTATGAATATCCATCATTTACTTTTACCATCTCATACCCTTTTTCTCTACCCATTTTTTTTCAAATAATGAATGTTTAGATAGTCGTGACAATAATTTTAGATTTGGATTTGAAAACACCATTCATGATGTTTTGTTGGGACTGCTAAATAGGAAGATAAATTTGAGAAAAAATTTTAAAAGTGATGCAATACATGATCTTTGCTCATTCAAAAGTCTGTTTTTAGTTAACAAAAATTTTTTATTAAAAGTATTTATGTTTGAACTGAGAAATTGCCATCTTTCTTCTATCTTTCCAAAAAAAAAAGAAGAAAAATCCCTTGCTACCCCATTTGAGTCGATTGAAATTTTTTTTAAAGAACCCTAACCAAGGATCACCTCTACATTATAGGGGTAAAGCCCTTTTATTGAAAAAAAAATTGATGGGGCAAGATGCCAATGTGCTCCACTAAAAAAAAAAAAAATTGTTGGGGTAAAATGCCAATATGCTCTATAAAAAAAAAAATTAATGGGACAAAATATCAAAATGCCCACGTGAAGAAATGATCTTTGGTTTGACTATGTTTCAAATGCAATTTGGGCCTATTTTATCTCTTTCTTTGGCACTTTTACCTTAGCCTACGTTATGTCCCTTAAAAGTTCATTTTGGTCAAATATGAATACTTGATTTGAAGAATCATTAATTGAATTAGGGCAGATTTGTTATTGGATTGTGTGAAGTTTTGATCTAGGTGTCAACAAAGAAAAAAAAAGAAAAAATGAGAAAAAAGGTGTACAAAAAGAAAAAAATGAAAAAATAAAGAAGCAAAAAAGGAAAAAGAAAAAAAAAGCAAGAAAAAAAATAAAAAATAAAAAAAATAAAAGAGAAAAAAGGAAGACTTAAACTGAAAACCCAAAAAGACGGTTTAAATAAAGATGAAAATTTCATGTGGAGGTCTTTAAAAAAAAGATGAGGATTAGTTCAAAGATTGAAGATATTAATGGAATGTGTTTTTAAAGGATGATCATGAGTTTGAGTTTAAAATTGTCTGAGCAATCATTATTTTGGATGTTAATGTCCTGTTTGAATAAATCTCGACATTTTACTTTTGTTCACCTTTGAGTTATTCTCGATCTTACCTTTTGTTCTTTCAATAATAAAAACCCATTCTTTTTGTCCTTTACTAAATGAACATTCCTTGAATGAACCAAAAAAATGTATCAAATCTATTACTGATTTGAATGTTGGCAAATAAACGAATGACATTTTTCATAAAGAGTTTTTCATTTTTGAAAGAAACACAAGATGAAATGAATGAAAGAAGCATGGAAAATGATTTATAATGGGGTAAATTAATGACTTAATGATGAATTCAGTAATAGATTGGTTAACATGATCTACAAGTTATGACCAGAAGAAAAGAATGACATTGACTGATTGATAGAATTTATCTTGAGATGCTGAGAAGCTAAGAAGGACTGGTGACGTCTTACGAACCTTATCACCACAATAAAATCTCATGACATCTGCATTACATACATTATGTTTACATTTGCATCCTAGATAGGGCATGCACTTGCATTACTCTATTATCATTTATTCGATCTTGACTCAGTCCAGATTATTTCTTATGGCTCATGATTTCATTTTAGTCTTTCGATCTAGACTCAGGTTAGATCATTTTTTTATCGTGGCATCATCTCAGCCTGAATATCTTTGACCTTGACTTGATCTTGGTCACTTTATCTTTTTTACTCTTTC